CTTTTCTCCCACAGTCGTCAGCAATTGTCCATGTTCTCGTGAAACTAGTAGCGCAGAGGATAGTGGGCACGGAATCGACGTGCGTTATCGTAATTGGTCGATCGCACGGGTGAGTGACGTTGATTGCATCGCGCATGTCTTGCTGTTGTTCCTCAAAGCTTCCACACGCAATGGTTGCATTCGCATGATAACTCACGGTCGGGGGACTGGGGTTATTTAGATTGATGACCTGGATCCTAGACGCGCAGTTGCCCGCTTGGTCTTTCGCGATCCACTTTCGCTGAAAGCTGCAACTGACTCCTGGGATATCTTGGTGGGTTAATGTTATATTTACTCCTTCGTTGTCGCTGACTGAAGGTGTTCCTAGAGCTGATGGACTTAGATCTGATGTGCAGTCCACACTCTGTGTCGCCATGTTGGAGATGGTTGGAGGCTGTAAATCTATTTATGAATGTGATAGAAAAATTATTTCAACGGGTCTCAGCAAATTTAGGTTAAAGTATGCACTCAGATCGCTACTTTTAAAGCAGGACAGGACCAAATGAAATACAACAACTGAGTTTGTCTCCACTGTGAACTGCAAGATCCCGAAAAGTGCTGGTTTGAGAGTTATTCACTCTGTTACTTCAGCAAGGTAGATGATTCGAAGTAATTCACAAAATTCACGCAAATTATCGCAATATATCGCTGTGTGGGAGTAAAGCAGGGATGTGGGATGTCAGGATTCTTGTTCTTACTGGCCCCGGATTGGATCATGAGGAAGGCAACAGCAGACAAGAGAAGAGGGATCACAACAGTGTTGGAGGACCTTGACTTGGTAGATGACATCGCCCTGCTGTCATCCAAGTTTAATGACTTGCACGAGAAGACTGGGAGACTGACAGAAGAAGCAGCCAGAGCAGGCCTTAAACTCAATGCGAGAAAGTGCAAGACACTAAGGACTGAGTATGCTAACAATAGGGAGAGCATCGTGGTGAATGGTTGGGAAGTAGAAGACGTAGAGGAGTTTCCATACCTAGGAGCTATTGTAGATAAGGAGGGTGGGGGCAGTAAAGATATTATGAACCGACTGCAGAAGGCTCGCAGTGCATTCCAGAGACTAGGGAAGGTGTGGGCAACCAGAGGAATAGGAAGGAGAACCAAGGTACGCCCATTCAAGAATTTAGTTTGACCGGTCCTGCTATATGGCTGTTAAACGTGTAAGATCACAAAGGCTGCCGAACGAAAACTGAATAGTTTCCAATGCCAATACCTGAGACGGATAATGAAGATCAGATGGCAGCAAATAATGACAAACAAGAGAGTGGTTGAGATAGCAGGGATCAATGGAATAAGCTACGAGATACGACGAAGAAGGTGGAACTGGTTAGGACACGTACTCAGAAAGAGAGGGTGAGAACGACTGTTTTACAGCATTGGGCTGGGCACCAGAAGGACGAAAGGCGAGAGGGAGACAAAAGACCACTTGGAGAAGGAATGTTGAGAGGAAGAGAAACAAGGCGGGGTGGAAGAGTTGGAATGTAGCCAAGGCGGCAGCACGGAACAGAGAGTGTTGGTCAGAGAACGTGTCGGCCTTATGCGCCTACTGGCTCGCAGAGACTTGATGATAAATGCTGTGTGTCCTCTAAAGGGGGAGTTAGTTCGTGAAAACTAAATTAGCATGGGTAATCAAATGGTGACGAGTGAAATTAGGAAATAATTTCTCGCCAAACTTTGCCATGTTATTTCGCGCCAAAATTAAGGCGTAACAAATGATGTAAAGTGACGTTTGTTGTTTATTAATTAATGATTATTTATGTTATTTTAAGAGTGGGCTTCCTGTGAAGTAGCTTTTTTTTAGCTAAGGGGAGTTGGCACGATAAATAGAAAATTGCATTACATTACATCTCATAGGGAAGGAATTTTAGTACTAATGAACTGAAATTAATCAGAAAACTACTCTCAGTTATGTCTTGAGAAAATTCGATTTCGTCGTTGTTACGAAAAATGTAATAACGTTTGGTAAACCAAGAGTCTTTGCTTACCAACTTTCCACGTATACGTCACAGGGTTGCCTTGGTTACCCACATCATCCGTGCCTCGTACTCCGAACACGTAGGCCTTTCCGTTTTGCAGATTACTCTTCGTGTAACGTTTGGTGTTGCATTGTGAATAAACAGGAATATTGCCTTGTAGTTCTACCGTACATTCAAGCGAGCAGGTGTCTTGACAGTAAAAGCGAAACGTGAACGACCCTTGATTGCTTAGCGAAGCAGGTTTGGACGTGATGATAACTTGGGGTGGTGTGCGGTCTGAAAAAAATAAAACAGATTAAACACAAGAACATAAGTACTCGTTTTATATGGCTAGGCAGTCTTAAGGCAAATGCGAGCGTTCTGATTGGTTCTTTCTTTCTTGATTCAATAATCAATCCGAGCGCTAAGTCGAATTTATATGTAACTCAACTTACGAGCAAAATAACATGATCAGCTTTTCTAGTCCTTGTAAACTTAACTAACCGAAAGCNTATATTATGCGGATGGTTTTGGTCATCTAAATAATTTTTGATGATTTCAGTGACTGTTAACATGAAAGAGGACTTTGCTTCATTTGCCAGTTGATTGGAAATATTGAGGCATTGTTTGGCTGATTTTATAGTTCTTCACTCCGGTATCTAAGCAGGACAGATAATTTAAAATAATTCACAAAATTCACGCAAATTATCGCAATCTAATGTCGTTTGGGACGTGTCCTCTAAAGGGGGAGTTTTCGGAAAAGTGCAAACACGTTTGTTAAACCAAGAGTCTTTGCTCACCAACTTTCCATGTATACGTCACAGGGTTGCCTTGGTTACCCACATCATCCGTGCCTCGTACTCCGAATGTGTAGGTCTTTCCGTTTTGCAGATTGTTCTTCGTGTACCGTTTGGTGTTGCATTGTGAATAAACAGGAATATTGCCTTGTAATGCTACCGTACATTCAAGCGAGCATGTGTCTTCACAGTAAAAGCGAAACGTGAACGACCCTTGATTGCTTAGCGAAGCAGGTTTGGACGGATGATAACTTGGGGTGGTGTGCGGTCTGAAAAAAATAAAACAGATTAAACACAAGAAAACAAGTACTCGTATTATATGGCTAGGTAGTCTTTAGGCAAATGCGAGCGTTCTGATTGGTTCTTTCTTTCTTGACTCAATAATCAATCCGAGCGCTAAACCGAATTTATATGGTAACTCAACTTACGAGCAAAATAACATGATCAGCTTTTCTAGTTCTTGTAAACTTAACTAACCGAAAGCTCCTAGCAATTACACGGATTGTATGATTGAAGTCACTAGTACATTACTTATAATGACGTACCGACAAACCACGAGTGCCTGACCGGAGGCGCTGCGTTTCCCGCCAAATCTGTAACCTGAACATAAATGCTGTAGTAGCCTTCAGTCAGATTGGTTCCAGTCCACGACATATTGCACGGTTGACCAGTGATCTGGGAAGGAGTTTGTAATGTGCACTGAGCCGTGACGTTCTCGTTTGCTGTCCACGTGATTTCAACGTCACCGCCGGAGCGTGATGGAGCATTCACAAAGCTTAACACGGGCGGGGTGATATCCTCTGAAAAATAGCGAAATATTTGCTGATTTAATACCTTTAACGTTAACCGTGAACAATAACCGTTAACGAGAGTGTTGGCACAGTTAAAATAATTCTTCCTTTCCTTCCCTTTAATGTAATGCTATAATGTTTCTGGCGAGGACAGGAATTATCCAAGAGTCAAGGGTCAAGAGTCAATAGTAAAAAAAGTTAACAGTTTGCAAATTTTTTCGCATGGGAGAAGAAGTTAAGATAGAGCGGATTAAGAGACTAGTCTGATGAGCCTCTCGTCTTATACTCCTCGCTTCCTGGGTCTACTCGGCTAATCCAATGAGGCGGATGATACAAACTAAAAGGTTATATTTGCTGGCAATTAAGGGTGACATGTTGCAAAGGAGATCCTTACTTATTTTAATGCTCCATGTGTTTGGGTCTCTGATTGATGGTGACTCTGCTCCACAGTGAGTAACACCTTTAGCAGCACCTACAAGGGAAGGACGAATTGGTACACAGGTGTAAATGGCACGATTTTGTAGTATTCTACGATGGTTTGTTAGCTAAAAAACGGCAAAATGTCAAAATAAGTACGAGCAGAATTTAAAAGGAAATCACAACTGAAAGCGAGAGAGTTTAAAGCTCCCCTTGTATTTTACAAGCTAACAGTAGATTTATTTAGTGCTGTTCACTCTTAATATGTAGTTCATCGTTCGTACCCGTTCCTTGTTCTGTATCGTTCGCGCCAGCCTACACTTGCATGGCAATTTCACAAGTTGGTGACCGGTACAATAATTTAAAAGCCATTGGAAGATTAGTCTTTGTGGTGTTCAATACCCTGGTCATGTAATAAAGGGGCATTGACAACCTGAGTAACATTGCTTCGCCTGTACGTTTCATAAAAGTTTCCTATTTACCTGGGTCTATTGTTACATAGTAGATCTCTTTCTCGATGAATCCCACTGAAGTCGTGAACTCAATCGTCCTCCCCAGGCTCCCAACCGGATACAACACAGCGGCTGTGATGGCAACATCCACGCTGAACAGAACCTTGCCATCCGAACGATGAATCCGGATGTAACTGCTTCGTGTAGGGCGCACGAACTGTAAATAGTGTGAGATAGGAAAAATCTGCTCTAACTCTGCTCTAAGTTTGGACCCAAATTATGGAACAGTCTCCCGGACTTAATTAGATCCTCGGCAAACTATAACACTTTCAAAAATGACTAAGTGACCTGGACTTCAGCTGCCATATGTAAACTTATTTTAACATTATTTTGCTTTTTCTCATCTCGCTTATGCATAGTTTCTATCTGTACAATTTACATACATTTTTATATTCTTATACATTCTTAGATATTTTATAGTAGTTATATATTCTTAGATAGTTCAGTTTGATATTTATGACTAATCCTCCGTAGGAAAAAGATGGCGACTGATACATTTACCCATAGTTCTTAGCGCACGAAAACCTTAGCAACGTTCATAAAAAACGTACAGAAGATCTATGAAATCTTCAAACCTACGCTACACAATGTCCTTAGTACAGGGACAAATATTGTAAAAATTTGGCTTTCTTTGTGCCTTATAGGCTGCGTTATGTTCGCAAGGTATTGTGGTAAAATGTACAGCCGCCACCTTTTTTCCTATGGTGGATTGCACATATATTTTTACTTTGTTAATTTGTTTTCTTGGCGCACCTGTAAACTAGCTGGTGCGTCCTGTAGACTCTGTTTATCAAGTCTATGGGACGCACCGTTACAATAGTTAAGGGTGTTGTCCGAGTAAAATAAACTGTCTTTGTCTGTGTCTATGTCTGTGTCTGTGTCTGTTTCTATGTCTTTGTCTTTGTCTATGTCTATTAAAAGGAGGAATCTAGAGTTTATAGTAAACTCTCATTATAGCGGACACTCTCGAAACCGTCATTTGGATCCGTAATAGCGAGAGTCCTCAAAAAAAGGCTTAAAAAGCTGTTTGAAGTGTCTAACCGTCAGATGATTACCTGCTTGTCAAAAGTTATGATCCATTGTCGAGTGTCCGGTAGAACCTCTCCTGTTGGTGACAATCTCACGATTTGTGGCGGGGCAACTGCCAAGGGAAAAAGTAGGTGGTCAATGCGTGCAAACACTCCTTGTGTCTCAAAATAAAATTGTTTGAAGACTTTCAAGCAAAATCATTGAATAATAAGCGCAGAGCTACATCAGTAAAAGTTAACAACATGAGCATGATGTAATAAAATAGATACCAAGTTAACACGAAGCAAGCAGCACTACGTGAAAGTGCTTTTCAATAGCTTTCATTTGAATTAACACGTTAAGATTTCTTCTACAGACTAAAAGTCACAACCACTTTGTAGAGCGTAAGTGGTCAGTAGGATAATATACAAATCCGTAAAATAGTATTCCTAAGGTTGATCTGATGTATAATCAGTATAATGACTTAAAGGAAACTCTTGCGGAATTCCGGAAGAAATAGACTCTATACACCACTTTTGTCCAGAAATGCACGCAGTAACGAAATTGGCAGATTTGACGAAATTTCGTCAAACTGAGTGAATGTTCGTGGATTTGACGATTTTCGTTGCCGCATGCATTTCTGGACATATCTTTTATACACAGGTAACACTACACTTTGTAGTTGATAAAGTATTTGATCACTTAATAAGCAACATATTAAGCAATAATAATGATATTATTAATAACATTTTTGTTATTATTACTTTAATCATAAAAATTACAATTTCCTGGCTTGTGATTGGTTTAAAAAAACTCCAATTTTCCACTAATTTACTTGCCAAGTTGTTATCGGACAGTTCAATGAGTCAATCACATTCAAAGTTGTAGTTTAAATCAGCCAATCTCAATTTCAGAGCGACATTAAACAATTTACGCCTCCGTTGTCAGTCTTTTAATGCAAATTTTCCCTTACTTACATATGGCTATTTTTCTTTTTTAGAAATTCTAATTTTTATGATTAATTGGTAATAAGACTTTGTGTCGTCCAATTCGGTCTGTAATCATACTCGTGATAAAAAAAAAAAAAAATCGGACTCCCGCTGCGCGGCCGTCCGAATTTGTCATTATTCGTATGATTACAGACCGAATTGGACTCCACTCAGTCCTGTTATCATTATTTATCACCATCAATAAGTTTACCTCCAACAAGCAGTGTAACGCATCGCTGATCAGTTGTTATCCTGAAAACAACGTGAAACCAAATTGATTAATGAAACTAGCAATTTAACAAATAAACTTAATAAAAATTGAAATTTATCCATTTGTGACTAAATCATCTACCATTATGTCACATGTACTGCTCGGGCAACACCTTTCTCTTGTCGGGTGGACACCTTTCTGTACAATTGGAAGCGCCAGCTACATAGAAAATTACTTTGAATTGCAATGCAATAATAACCGAACATTTCAATGGCGTCAAAAAAAATAAATGATAGGAACAAACAAGGCCTTGAAGCATATCCCTGGCCTATTAGAAGGGTAATGTCTTACTAAATTGAAAAAATTTCGTATCTCTTAAATATTGAAAATGGGCGCGGCCTTAATCGCGATTTTCTGTTTAACAATGGAATTTTTGCAACAAACGGTCACATGGTATTAAATCCGCCAGACGGTGAGCTACGCACTGTAACAAGGGTAATGAAATCATAGAAAGGTCCAGACTGAATGGCTGACTGAGTGAGTTATTTTGGAGGCTACTGCATTCTCTTGCCATCCAGCATCGTAACGGTGACTGTTTGCTGAAAAACACCTGCTAAGGACACGCCAGTCAAGACTGTTCTTTACAGAATGACCTCCAGTTAGAGACACAGAGTCACAGTTACGTGACCACAAGTCCTCCCTTACCCAGAATTCTCCAGTCCTGTGAAACAAAACAGCTTTGAATCTATCTGTGACGTCGTTGGTGTCCACGTGACATTGACGTAATATTCCTGTGGTGCATACTGGGCCACAGACGATTTGATAAATCCGGGGGGACTACTTGTAGTTACCTCCACGATACTGCAAAACACGTATATATGGTTGAACGTATCGTAATGGTATCGTAAATGCGCGAACATTTGACGTGTATTGTCACTACAACTGGTTCAAAGCTCTTTCACAATTAAATCATTTGGTAATGATAGGGCAAAAATTATTTCATGAGCGCCCGTTGGATATGAAATGATAGTGTGTCTGTTGGTTGATAAATATGTAGATTGAAAACCATTTTGGCTTCAAGCTACAATCTCATTGGGCTACGTAAGTCATCCGCCACACTAGAATAGGAAGCACTGGTTTGCTAACAACATTGTAAATAATTTACGACTGAGAGACCTAAAAAACAATTCTTTTTATAATCCAAGCGCAACGAGGCATGCCAGGTTAACAAAAAACCGTTTTAGTTAAGGACGTTCGCTCGAAAATTTTCCACTCAATAAATTTTTTTCTTGAATTTTGACTCAGTGCAGTCAGATAATGAGTTACTTGCGTCAGAAATGCAAAAACATTGGGGGTCACCGACTTCGTTTCAGAGATAAAGCGGGTGGAAAACTACCCTGATTTTGAAAAATTGGCCACGTAATTCAGCATGGTCTACAGGGGCTTACAGTAAAAATATCGAAGGTGAGTCAACGGAGGCAAATGATCCTAGTCATATTTTGTAGATGTGAGTCTGTTGCGAAAATAATTTTAAATGTTGCCAACGTTTTCACAAAACTTAACCCTCCGAGAGGCATTTGAAACCGCCGTACAGATAAACGAAGAGCTGAAAATAACGGAATTCAATGGTGCATTTTGCAAAAAACTCAAACTTCTAATCGGTAGATTTTTTTTATTTTTTTCGCTAAACGTAGAAAATCGGCAGAGAAAATAATCCATCGACAGAAAAATAGGGGTCACCGAGCATCAAAGATCGTTAAATTCAGGCAAAACTATAGCAGTGGCCATCTGCCCTATCATTGTTCATTTTATTACTTAGCGCCCGCGCTCATGCATGCCGTGGCGTGTGAATTTGCGTGCGCAGAAAGGATGCGGAGAAACAATTAGCGCGAACGTCCTTAAGTGAGAACACAGCGTTCTCGAACTTATTCAGGCTATTTGGAACTGAGGCTTTCAGCCATGCCTATCGCCTTCTCAGTCCCCTGAGTGCCTGGCAGGACCTCTGGTAGGAATGTCACAATTTTCAAGGTGATAACTTGAAGATCGGGCATGGTTGTGTGGCCTTCTAAAAACCAAAAGAAGCTAGAAATAATTAGAGCGACAATGCATAGCTGAGTTTAACAACACCTTTTTGATGGTCCACCAGCTCGCACGATGATCCGATCAAAGTATGTTCCTCCTGGGGGAATCCCAATGCATGATCCCTCGGCCCGAGTCTCTTCCGAGAACTCAGGACGCTCGTCACACGCCTCACTTGACTTAAAAACGTACACCAAGAACTGCAACGGAATGCTGCTCAACGCCCGTGTGGCGGTTGACGTAGCAAAGTCTTCAATCATAACAGCAGCAGCGTAAAAACCCGTGTATTCTGTTGCGCTGTATGCGATTTTACATTCGCGCTGTAACAGTGAAAGCAGTTGCAAATGGTTAGCACTCTTCTAACCTCCGGCAAGGTTGGCAGACGGGGGCGGAGCTCTCTCCTCCGCTGAGGTTTGAACATTTCTTATAGAAAAACATAAGTTTTCTTGGGTAGAAAAACAACAAAAAAAGATATAAGAAAACAAAAATATAAAAGATATGTCACGACTGAAAAATATTAAGACGGATTAAGGAAGATATACTTGAAAATAATGCGATGCGCTATTCCGGAGGTACGTGGTCCCGAGTAACAACAATACATACTTTATTACCAAAATAGAAAACTCTTAGTTACAGAAAAAGATAATTGAAACAGAAAATTAGGTAAATTCACCCAGACTAACTTAAAAGCTAATCGATCAGAGTGAAATTAAATACAGTTCAACCCCTATTAAACGGCCACCCTCAGGAAAACGGATAGTGGCCGCCTAAAAGGGGTTGGCCGTTTAACAGAGGTAAAAACAATAGAAAAGCCCTCATCGGGATTTTGATTACTGGCCGCCTAATAGGGGTGGCCGTTTAATAGGTGGCCGCTAAATACGGGTTCGAAAAGAAGTTTGTTGGCAGTAAAGCTAATAAGGGGTTAAAAAGTAGCCTTCCGGTAACACTAAGGAAGGGTATGTTGCTTTATAACAACGACAATGTATGTTTATTTGCGTCACAATGCATAGACAGTGTCAGTAAACATCAGACTTGGATCATCATTAGTTACTTAGTTTTCTTNAGTGTCAGTAAGCATCAGACCTGGATCACTATTAGTTACTTAGTTCTCTTGTTAGTTAGAGAGTTTTTTAAGCCGCAGGGAAATTCTCGCTCTCCAACAGCCCTATCTTGTACCGCGCCCCTAGATTCGGCTCAGGTGTTCCCCGTACACCATACTTTTGGGACTTACAAAATAGATCCATGCGTTTGGAATTCCATTGCCTCCACAGATATGTCCACAGTCGTCATATCCCCTCGCCCAACGGCACCGTACCTCATCGTTGTCGTCGTCAGTCACTATCAAGATATGAAATATATGTTTTGATTATATACCAGGGGCGCACCCAATGACGGTTTCCTCTAATACCCTTTAAAACGCTGTTTTAGGCTATCTGGAGTGTTTAGCGCGGCAAGAAAATTGTTATATGTTTAGTCATTCTAGAGAAACTTGAATCTCCTCGAATTGATTGGGGCTTTTTTGTCCATTTCCCGAAATCCAAAGTTATTATTTCTTTCCGAAAACCGTACCTACTTACTTATTCTTCTCCGTCTCCTTTAAGATATAAGGCAACTATCGAAAATCATAGCTGACTTTCGTTGCAGTTCTCATGCAAAACGACAAGTAGGCATTACATTTCACATATCACGAAAGTTCGAAAAGACAACTGGAGGGAATTCAGTAAACGCCTTCCAAACAGATTATTTACCGAAACGATCGGGTTTCCCCTGGTATAAGGACAAGAGAGCGAAGAAAGACAGGCAAACAGGCAAACAAGCAAACAGGCAGACAGGCAGGCAGACAGAGCGAGTTTACACGGCGTTACTTAGGCGCAGCTACCAAACTGGAAAAACGTAAGCGTTAAAGATTCATACCTGGGATAAAAATGGTGTGGTTACATCCAAATTTCAAACGTACTATCGGCGTCATTGTCGTTACAGGGGACGTATTCATACGTCCTGTGTCATTTCGTACGGTGAGGTTCACGTACATGCGCACTTGCCATTGAGCTGCTGACTCATGTACCAAGGCAATCCAATTAGAGCCCTGGTAGCTGTGGATCAAGAATGTTGTATTAGGTCCCTTAGAAGAAGCAACATAAGCAAAAGTAACTCTTGAAGGTAACCCAAGAGGTCATTTTTTACTGCAGAGTAAGCTGTGGAGAGGGTTTAGAGGGCTGCTGTCTGCCAAACGCTAAACCGCTAATCTGCTAACATGCTAACGTGTTGATTTAAAAGTTTGTTTTATTACTTCTTGTCTTAAAGCGAGGATGGGGTAGGTCTTCGTGAAACGTGTGGCCTTCGTTACTTCTTTCAGAAAACCTTTTGCTCTCTCTCCCTATTCTTTCTAGAACAAGGCGAGGGAACAAGGCAATTTGCTTTTAACGCATGCGCAGATTGGTCTTCGTTAGTGTTGACTTCATAAACCAGGTGAAAGATACATTACATAAGGCAAAACAACAGCATTAGATACTTTTCCTTGCGGTTGCATGCGTTTTAGCATCGTTAGCGTGATACACTCCACGTTTAGGGTCGGAGACAACTTTTTTGTCCTGAGCCTCTTCCTTCCTTCGTTGATCCTCCGATTTTTAATGAACTTTAATGTGAAACTGGTTGGTCGTTGTGAGAACGTATAGTGCTCGTTAAACCCAAGTTATCAGTAAACAGTACTGCCGCGCGCGACTCTGCTCTCCGTTTCTTCGCGGTGTATTTTTTTCTCTACGTAAATTGGAACAATTTACTGATTTGAACCAACCACGCAGTCGGCAACTGGTTCAAGGTAAAATTGGTTCTATGAAAAACCTACTCGCAAAATATCAGCATCAGAGTTCTCAACATCAGAGTGGAGTTTTCCGTCGTCTCCACGCTGATCTGCTTCCGGGCTCCACGGTTATGATGTCGGTCTTTGTTCTCAGTTTGCTTTTTGGTATGGGGGGGGGGGGGGGGTGGGGCGGAACCCTTTTTTTTTTTCACTCCTTCCGACCGACCCAAAATCAATAAACGTCTTCTACACGAATCCTACCCGAAGAAATAGGTGATGGCCTTATTATCAAATCAGACTGATATAACTTTCTTTACGTTGATTGTTATTATTTCTAAGTGGGATTCATCTATGCCATGAAAGTAAAGCCACTTTTTGTTTCAATCATAATTTATAAAGATCGCTATAGACTAACCTGACTTGATAGTAGCGAGGTGATNAGCATCGTTAGCGTGATACACTCCACGTTTAGGGTCGGAGACAACTTTTTTGTCCTGAGCCTCTTCCTTCCTTCGTTGATCCTCCGATTTTTAATGAACTTTAATGTGAAACTGGTTGGTTGTTGTGGGAACTTATAGTGCTCGTTTAACACAAGTTATCATTTTATCAGTAAACAGTACTGCCGCGCACGACTCTGCTCTCGGTTTCTTCACCGTGTATTTTTTTTCTCTACGTAAATTGGAACAATTTACTCATTTGAACTAACGACGCAGTCGGCAACTGGTTCAAAGTGAAATTGATTCTTTGAACAGCCTACTCGCAAAATATCAGCAACAGAGTTCTCAACATCAGAGTCGAGTTCTCCGTCGTCTTCACGCTGATCTGCTTCCGTGCTCCGCGGTTATGATGTCGGTCTTTGTTCTCAGTTTGCTTTTTGGTATGGGGGGGGGGGGGGGGGGGGG